TCCACTGCATTACCTTAAAAAACAAAGTACAAAAACATCCAGACCAGGTGCAGTGGCTCATGCCAGTAATCCCAGCACTTTAAAAGGCCAAAGTGAGCAGGCTGCTTGAGCCCAGGAGTTCGAGACCAGCCCGAGCAACACAGTGAAACCCTGTCTCTATAAAAAGTTAGCCAGGCTTAGTGGCACATGCCTGTAGTCCCCACTGCTCAGGAGGCTTAGATGAGAAGATCGATTAAGCCCTGGAGTTCGAGGCTGCAGTGAGCCGAGATCACACCACTGCACTCCAGCCTGGGCAACAGAGCAAGACCTTGTCTCAAAAAAAGAAAAAGAAAAAAAAATCCCCCCCCAGCACACAGGCGAGGATTGCTGTTTGGAAAACTGGCTGCTTGGGGAAGAGAACTCTGTCTGCATCTTCATCTAACACCATTGACTGACACAACTTTTAAATGAATTTCCAAGTCATGTGTAAATTACAGTACATGAACACTGCACATGTTAGGAAGAATAAGGCAAAGCTATGTGCACTGGCATGAAAAGATCTCCAAAAGCTAGTGTCCTGTGAAGAAAACCAAGCTGTTGAATGACATGTACTATATGGGTGTATGTTTTCCTATGTAAGAACAAATGCCACATACATGTCTCTACACACACACACACACACACACACACATATGCCTCAAATTGAAAGTCTGAAGAACTCATCCATCAATTGTTAACAGTAGTTGTCTCTGGGAAAGGCAGTACAATTGCGTGTGAATGTGGTGTTTTTATTTCTCATGGAAACTCACATATACACGTTTCTTAAATTTTTTAATGTGTATAAATTAATTTCAAATTTTGAAAACAAAAATATGTTAAACATATATAATAAAGCCATGAAAACTTGTATATAAGCACTTGATCTCCTCCACATGAGAAAGAAAAAACTTCGTAAGCATAAAAACAATGTGGAAAAAATATGAAAGAAAATTTTTCTCTGGTCAGACACAGTGGCTCATGCCTGTAATCCCGGGACTTCGGGAGGCCGAGGTGGGTGGATCACTTGAGGTAAGGTGTTCAAGACCAGTGTGGGCAACATGGTAAAACCCCATCTCTACTAAAAATACAAAAATTAGCTGGGTGTGGTGGTGCACACCTGTAGTTCCATGTACCTGGGAGCCTGAGGCAGGAGAATCACTTGAATCTGGGAGGCGGAGGTTGCAGTGAGCCAAGATCATGCCACTGCACTCCAGCTGGGTGACAGAGCAAGATTCCGTCTCAAAAATAGGAAATATTTCTAGAATGAGTGATAGTAAATGCCCTGACGTCAAAAAATAAAGAAAATTTACAAGTAAAGAGAAACGCTTAGCCTGGTGTGGTGGTGTGCACTCGTAGTCTCAGCTACTTAGGAGGCTGAGTTGGGAGGATCACTTGAGCCCACGAGGTTTAGGCTGCTGATGGGATCTCAGAGCTTCGTTGTACCTCACAGATCCATGTTTGTGCCACTGCATTTCCGCCTGGGCAGCAGAGAAAGACCTCATCGCCACTAAAATCAAAAGCATTAGCTGGGCACGTTTGTGTGTGCCTGTACTCCCAGCTGCTTGGGAGGCTGAGACAGAAAGAGCACTTGACTTGTGCTCAGGAGTTCGAGGTTGCAGTGAGCTCTGATTGCACCACTACACTCCAACCTGGGTAGCAGAGTGATGTCCTCTCTCAAAAAGGGAAAAAAAAAAACCAGTCAGCAAAAACTGGAAAATAATTCAGCACCAAATATGACAATGAAACAAATCCTTTATATTCTAAAGGATTACAATGAAGAAAAAAAAAAAAAAAGCAAGCCCTGATCCATGAGCCCCAGACTCCGGCGTGTAGCACACATTTGAAATGATCATCCCATGTTCTTATTTTACCGACCAGAAACCGGACTTGAGGCTGGAGAGTCACATGCCCCAAGTAAACCAGCTGCACACCCTTAGCTCACCTGTCCCAGCAAGGCCTCCTGAGACCGGAGAGTAGAAAGCAGCCATTCACCACCCACCCGCTCCGTCACCTCCCCTGAAATCCTCACACCCTGCGTCTTCCCTGGATCTTGGCAGAGCCCAAATTCCTATCCTGTTTGAAATTCTTTCTGCTATTTCAGATTTCTTTTTGGGGATGAATTGAGGTCTGCCTCCAAAAAGCAGAAGTCTGGGTACTAAACAAAAGTCTCCAGAGTTTGCCACACAGCGGGCGGCCTCTGGATCTGCAGAAGGCTCAGTCCTTCTTCCGTGTTTATCTCAGACAATTTCACTACCCTTCCAGCCTCGCAGGGAGAACCCGCGGCATGTCGCCGGCTGCTCTCTCTTCCTCTAACTGGAAGGGGCGCTGGGGATTGCCTGATTCAGCCCCAGAAGGAAAGTGAAACGGGGAGGAGAGAAACAGCTTCTCCAAAGTCACATGGACAGGTACCATCATTCCCAACCGACCAAACGACAGGGTGCTGCCCCACGACCCTGTGTTCATCCCAGAACGGCTGCACCGGACGTGAATTTTGAGAATGTCTCTGAGGTTCTAGGTGGTGCTTTTATTTCTGTCAATCACTTTCCCGTGCCCACCCAGAGCGCATGGCAGGGGCTCCATGAGGAAGTAGGAGCTCTCTTCCCAGGCCCCACACACAGCCTGGCAGCCCTGCCTCCCGTGGGCACCCCCACCCCTGCCCCGGCACTGACTGGGCATGGGAGGGCTCCTAAATCACCCCAGCACCTCTCCTAACGTCATGCAGAAGCGGGGAATTCCTGCACCTAAGAACTCAAATCTGGTAGTCAGGCTGATTTGGGACAGGGATAGACAGTTATTTTTAAAGAGAATATTACATTAAAATGTACAGTTAAAAGGTCCTGTTGGCCATGCACAGTGGCTCATGCCTGTACTCCCAGCACTTTGGGAGGCTAAGGCCAGTGGATCACTTGAGATCAGGAGTTCAAGACTAGCCTGGCCAACATGGTGAAACCCCATCTCTACTAAAAATACAGAAATGTAGCCCCGCGTGGTGATGCATGCTTGTAATCCCAGATACTCAGAAGGGTGATGCAAGAGAATTGCCTGAACCCAGAAGGCAGGGTTGCAGTGAGCTGAGATCATACCACTGTACTCCAGCCTGGGCAACAGGGCAAGACTCCATCTCAAAAAAAAAAAAAAAAAAAAAAAAAATCGAATCATCCCTTCAAGTACTTATACTTTAACATTCAACAAACCTCAGGCTCCTAGCGAGGGTATGGGAATTAAGTGTGGACAGATGATTAGTGTGCCTTCCTTGCCTCTGGAACAGGTGATGATTCGTAAGAATGAAGTGCCCGGTGTGGGACAGGGAGGGAGCATGCATGAGAGCCAGGCAGAACTAGACAGAGCTCTGCTGCTTCCTAGAATAAGACTTGATCACATGATTAATCTCTCAGTATTTATCTATGAAGTTAGCATAATAATGAAAATCTCTCTCTGATCTTGCAAGGAGTCAGTGGTGTAGCAGCGTGCTTGGCATACCATAGTATTGGGCACATATTAGAAGTTACGATTCTGGTCTCCAACCCTCTCCTTCAGTTCCTTCATCTCTAAGGTTTGTTATTGTGTTGGCTTTACCTACCTATAGCTATGGGCTGAATGTGTGTGTGTTCTCTGAATTCATATGTTGAAGCCCGAATCTCCAATGCGAAAGTATTTGGAGGTGGGGCCTTTGGGGGCTGGTCAGGTCATCAGGGTGGAGCCCTGATGAATGGAATTAGTGCCCTTATGAGCACAGACACAAGAGCACTCTCTCACACACACACACACTCACTCTCTCTCTTACACTCACTCTCTCTCTGCCACTTGAAGAGACAGTGAGAAAAAGCCACCTGCCAACCAGGAAGGGGACCCTTGCCAGACCCTGGATCTGCCCACTCCTTAATCTCAGAATTCCCCACCTCCCGTCTTCAGAACTGAGGAACAAAATTTAAACTACCTAACCTGTTAAGAAGCCCAACCCAAGACATTATCTCACAAACTCCCAGGAGCACCATACAAATACATTTTCTCCTAAGGACTGTCAAGTCTCTGATTGAAAAAATTAAAAATTCTATTTCTTAAGGCGGATGGATATGACTGGGAATGTGAACGGACTCTGTAAGGATGAATGACATACCTTTACTTAGATCTGGAATATGGAAAAATATTAAGTCAAAGACCAAGTCCGCCTTTGCAGATGTCAGCAGACTGACCCTAGGGCCAAATCTGTTTCCCTCCTGCCTGTTTTTCTCTTATACTGGAACACGGCCATGCTCATTCACGTATGCATTCTCTGTGGCTGCTTGTGCACTAAAACCCCAAACTGAATAGTTGTGACAGAGCCCGTGTGGCCTGCAAAGCCTCAAGTATTGACTGCCTGGCCCTTTCCAGAAAAAGTTTGCAACCCCTGATTTGTTGAATACATTTGAGTCTTCTATCATAAGTGGCCATAAATCTGAGACCAAATGCTGGAAATTGAACTTTTCTCTTTTTTTTTTTTTTTGAGACGGAGTCACACTCTGTCAACAGGCTGGAGTGCAGTGGTGTGATCTCGGCTCACTGCAACCTCTGCCTCCCAGGTTCAAGCAATTCTCCTGCCTCAGCCTCCTGAGTAGCTGGGACTACAGGCGCGTGCCACCACGCCCAGCTAATTTTTTGTATTTTTAGTAGAGACGGGGTTTCACCTTGTTAGCCAGCATGGTCTTGATCTCCTGACCTCATGATTCGCCCTCCTCGGCCTCCCAAAGTGCTGGGATTACAGGTGTGAGCCACTTCGGCCGGCCAAACTTTTTAACTCTAGGGTCAGTTAAGGCTTACAAAGCTCAGTGGTTGGAAATTAAGACCCAAATGAATCTGAAGGCTAGAAATGTGAGGCTTCTGCCTCATTACTATGCAGTTCTGAAGCAAACCGTAGATCAAAATAAGGCTTGAAAAAACAGCAACAAAATTAAAACGCATTTTTTAAATGCGAGGCAGCAAAACGGAATGGACCCAGGACTAACCTGAGAGTCAGCTGTGCTGTAGTGCCCTGCTCTGCCACCAGTGAAGTGTGCCATGGGGGCAATCGCTTCCTTTTCCAGGAGCTGTTACGTAGTCCGTAAAATGAGGGGCTCACTCATTCACCAAACATTTCTCGAACCCCTCCTAGGGGGAACTTGCTGTCTTAGGCACGGTCGCCTGGACCTGCTCGTCTCTAAGACGCCTTTCCAGCTTTAGAGCTCAGTGTAAAGCGTTCGGTGATACTGCAGCTTTGCGGAGTGGCAGCGCGAGGCGCAGGAGTTCACGTGCACACGGAGCTTTTGGTTCTGCGGCGTTTTAATGATATTCACCATGGTAGTAATTTATGGCCATCTCCTCTTTCCAAATGGCTAACGTATTAGTGTAAGTCCAGTCCATCGAGCAAGCTTCTCCCATCTGCGAGGGAGGAGGCAGCCCCCGGACAGCTGTGGACCGAACCTTCAACTTGAATTATGTAACAGTGGCAGGGGGTGGGCAGATTGGCCTCCTGAATTATGCTCCCTTAGACTGGCATTTACATGAGTTTACAGACCCTAAACGCTCACCAGCAGGCACAGCGAGGATGGCTTTATCCCTGGAGTAATTAATCCACGTAGCAAAGGGATCTCGAAGGTGCTGCCAACAATCCTGGGATAATTGAGACCTTACAGCAAACAAACCACGCAGAATCAGGACCGCTTTCACGATCCCAAAGTCCCAAAGTGAGAACCACCTTCCAAAAACTCAGACTCCAGAGCCTGTTAATCCCCTTTTGTGGCGAGCCCGGCCTCCTGGACCGCATGCCCTGGTCTCCTCCCCCATAATACCCATTCAGGGCAATGACCCCAGCTGGCCACCCGGAGCCGCGTGGGCTGCGGTCAACAGCACCCAGATGAAGCTGCAGCTGATGGCCTGGCCTTTGGGGTCAGTAGCTGCTGAGCGCAGCCCTCTCCCCGCCTCCCGAAGTCCCAATGCCATCCTGATTTCTATCTGGAAGCGTCCCAGCCCAAACATGGAACAAAAGTTCCCTCTGACAAGCCCATTTGGGTTCCAAAGTATGTTTTTATGTTTGTTGGCAAATAGAACTGTCGCCAGCAACAATAACAACACTGTTTTCCCTCGACTGAAGCGACTTCATTTCTTCACGTTTGTTCCAGGACTGGAACTGGACAGATGAATAATGCAGGCTAGGCGGCTGGCCCACGTCCTGACCTCGTGCCTCCGAAAGCAAACACAGAGGTGAAAATGGAGACTTGTTTGTTTGAACTCTCACTGCCTAATTTGGCGAAGAAAAGGAAAAAGAAAAAGAAACCTCCCACCATCCTATTTCATCAGCGTAGACACTGAGGGGTTTTGTTTTGGTTTGGTCTGGTTTTTCTTTTCTTCTTCTTTTTTTTTTTTTTTTTTTTTTTTTGTTGTTGTTGTTGTTGTTGTTTTGTTTTGTTTTGTTTTGTTTTGTTTTGTTTTTTCCTCGTTTCTTACTTTTTGAAACGTGGAACGACAGCCCTCTACTGGTGCAAGGAATGAAGCCACTTTCTCAATCATCGAGGCTGCCCTGCCATCTCGTGGCCACGTGCACGATGCACACGTGGAGATCAATTTCTCAGCATCATACAACACAGGGCTAGGTAAAACGTTTGAAGCGCTCTTCAAAGTATTTATGTGGGCTTTCATTGAAGACATTTCAGGAAAACACCTTGTGTCGTTTGGGGGAAACATCGATGGGGTATGGAGTCAGAATGTTGGTTCCGCATTTAACTTCGATCAATGATTTGTGACATCCTCCTTGAGCAAATCATTTCATCTTTAGGAACCTGTTTTCTCTCCTCTGTACAATGGCGGTCATAATAAATGTTCGATTCTCGGAATTTTGTAGTGTTCACGTAAGATCATGCATATGAAGAATGCCTATTTAAAATCTCTAGAGAGGTACATTCTATCATCATACTTGGTAAAACTTTAGAAACTCAAAATCTGTTTTAATTTCTCTAACCTTGCTATCAGAGAAACCCCTGGACTCAGAATAAAGAGAAGGACTTCACACTGTCTTATATTTTCCTAAAGATACATACTGCTGGCTGGGTGCGGAGGCTCACACCTGTAATCCTAGCAATTTGGGAGACCGAGGTGGGTGGATCACAAGGTCAGGAGTTCAAGACCAGCCTGACCAACCTGGTGAAACCCCATCTCTACTAAAAATACAAAAAATTCGCCAGCTGTGGTGGCAGACACCTGTAATCCCAGCTACTCAGGAGGCTGAGGCCGGAGAATCACCTGAACCTGGGAGGCGGAGGTTACAGTGAGCTGAGATCACGCCATAGCACTCCAGCGTGGGCAACAGAGTGAGACTCCGTCTCAAATAATAAGAAGAAGAAGAAGATACATACCGCCAAGTTTTTCTTTTTTCTGATTTAAGTCAAGTCAGTTCCTTCAGTCTTGCTTCTCCGTGCCAGCCAATGAATAATCAGGAGTGTGGATGCGTCTTGGGGGGTGAAATAAGTTTGCTTGCGTGGAATCCCGAAGTGCTCATTAGTGTGGGGGCTTGGATATTTGGCTCCCTCGCCTTTTGGAAAAAGCCCAAGACAGACACAGCAGCTAAAGGAGCCCTCATAGGATGTGGATGCTGACGCAAGATGACTCATCACACGCTAGATGGGTTTGGCCACTGCTTCTGTGCAGCTGTTTGCAGAAAGCCAAAAATGTCTGGTACCAGGCTGGGGGCTTGGTGAACAGACCCGAATGTTACTGTCCTCATCTCTTGCTAAATTTCAGTTCTGCTTGGGGTCGGTGGCCCAGCCAGGCCTAGGTCTACTGATGAAAGTCCAAGGCATTGTCCTCCGTGTCCTCAGGTTACTGCGTCCTCGAGTTACTGAATTTCTCATTCACCTCGCTGATACCTGAGGTAGCCTTAGGGTACATTTGGCAGCAGGATCAATAGTTTCGCAAAGAGAAAATAGATGCCAGCCAAAGGAACATCAAATCCTTGGGTGAGTGATGAGCACGGATGACTCAGCTGTCCCGGCCGTCTTCCCTCCGGGCTAGGCTCTGCTGCCTCCAGGCTCACCTTCTGTTTCCAAGTTTGGTTCACTAGACCCGTCCTCAAGAAGCCTCCTGTAGGATCCGGAGTGAGTCAGCAGCACCCCGAGTGTGTTTGCTGGTGAGGATTATAGGAGGGGGAGGTAGGCTGTGTCTACAGGAGAGCCTGGGCACACCTGGGAGATAGAGGTGAAATGTTATCCCTCTGCCCTGCAGAATGAAGGTCTCCACTCAATCCCCTAGAGCTGACCTGTCAGACTCTTGAATCAAAGAAGGCACTGATTCCTCCCACCTAACTCTCTTTTTTTTTGAGACCGAGTCTCATTCTGTCACTCCGGCTAGAGTACAGTGGCATGTTCCTGGCTCATTGCAACCTCCCCCTCCCGGGTTCAAGTGATTCTTCAGCCTCAGTTTCCCAAATAGCTGGGATTACAGGCACACACCACCATGCCCAGCTAATTTTTGTATTTTTAGTAGAGAAGGAGTTTCACCATGTGGGGCAGGCTGGTCTCGAACTCCTGACCTCAAGCAATTCGCCCACCTTGGCTTCCCAAAGTGCTGGGATTACAGGCGTGAGCCACCACGCCCTGCCCTCCCACCTAACTCTTCTAGGGTGGCCCCAGAATCTTCCAGAGAGACCACCCTGTGGATGGAATCTGGGGTTTTCTCCTCCATAGACCACCTCTGAAAATAGGAGATTCTTCCTCTCTTCCTCACTGGGAGAGAGGTAGGAGTCAGGGTCTTCCTTCAGGAAGGTGCAAGAGGGTGAGCTTTTCTTCAGAGCTTTTCCATATTCTTTTTAAACCTTAACATGAGCCAAATGAGAGTGGGAATTAAAAGTATGATGGCCAAATCTGAGCTGAAAGACCCTGTGTCTAACGAGAGCAAAAGTGATCATGGTCACAATAAGACTGCAGACAGCGTTAGTAGAGTTTTCTGTGACACATGGAAAAACATAGTCCTTGGAAACTCAGACATCTGGGTTTGAGTGCCAGCCACGGGGACAGGAGATTTCGGAAGACCAGAGGTGGGGGGTGTCAGAGTCCACTGCCAGATGGACTGGATGTGTTCACATACACGACTAGCAAATGGACACTTGTAAGACTGGAAAATCTGACAGCAAAACCACAGAGAAGAGGGCACTGCCAGCTCTAAATACCAACCAACGAATTAATTTATTTGGAGAAATAATCGCATTTTTAGGATACTCTTTTTGATTTATTTAGGATAAACCTATTAATGTAACAGGTAATATAAATTACCTGTCCTCTAAATCCGATCTCACTCAAGTGTGAGAATGAGTAAGGGTCAGGGGATTAGGGAGAGGGGGTGGAGCTCAGGCAGAGACTTTAGTTTTCTCGGTCATCTACAAATCACTTTTTTTAAACTTTTATTTTGGGTTCAGGGGTACGTGTGCAGGTTTGTTGTTTTGGGTTTTTTGTTGTTTGTTTGTTTGTTTGTTTTTGAGGTGGAGTCTCACCCTGTTGCCCAGGCTGGAGTCCAGTGGTGTGATCTCGACTCACTACAACCTCTGCCTCCCAGGTTCAAGCAATTCTCCTGCCTCGGCCTCCCGCGTAGCTGGGACTACAGATGTGTGCCACCACACCCGGTTAATTTTTGTATTTTCAGTAGAGATGGATTTTTACCACCTTGACCATTGCGGGTGGACTCAAACTCCTGACCTCAGGTGGTCCGCCCGCCTTGGCCTCCCAAAGTGCCAGGGTTACAGGTGAGAGCCATTGCACCCAGCCGTGCAGGTTTGTTATATAGGTAAACTGTGTGTCACTGGGGTTTGGGGTACAGATAATTTTGCCTCCCTGGTAGTAAGCCACGTACCTAATAGATACGTTTTCTGCTCCTCTCCCTCCGCCCACCCTCCACTCTCAAGGGGGTCCCAGTGTGTGTTGCCCCCTCCTAGCATCCATGTTTTCTCCTTGTTTAGCTCCCATTTATAAGTGGGAACATGTGGTATTTGGTTTTCTGTTCCTGTATTAGTTCACTTAGGCTTACAGCCTCTAGCTCCATCCACATTGCTGCAAAGGACATGATCTCATTCTTTTTCACAACTGCATAGTATTCCATGTTGTATATGTACCACGTTTTCTTAATCCATTGGTAGGCATTTAGGTCGACTCCATGTCTTTGCTATTGTGAATAGTGCTGCAATGAACATACGTGTGCATGCGTCTTTGTGACAGAATGATTTCTATTTGCTTGGGTATATACACAATCATGAGATTACCAGGATGAATGGTGATTCCATTTTTAATTCTTTGGCAAATCAGCACACTGCTTTCCACAATAAATGAACTAATTTACACTCCCACTAGCAGCGTATAAGTGTTCCCGTCTCTCTGCAACCTCAG